ATTAGTGAGTAAAGTTACAATTTTTGAGTAGAAACAGAGACTACTTACTAGATTAGCTCTTAGTAGGTTCACAATGCTTTAGAATGCTGTAGAATGCTTCTAGAACACATTATCACATATTGATATGGACTAGCACTAGATACACTAGAGGTTCACATTAATTGGATGGGTCAAGGACTAGACATCTGTGAAGATGAAAAGGAACAAACAGGTGTGTATTAAGTTTACAGACAATAGACAACAAGATTATCTATTAGATATTAATTACAATGTAGCTGCCAAGTCTTGACAGACGATTCCCAGAGGGTACCCAAGTCTGGATATTAATACTAACATACTAGAAAGTAAGTCCTTGTCTCTTGTAGGCTGGAGGCAACCTAATGAACTTATTCCAAGTGATAAGTCCTTGTCTACACAAGGCTAGAGGCACCCTAATGAACTACTACATACTAATAATGTAGAATTAAGGTATGTAATTGTACTAGCACATATAGTTAGTCAAACACACACTGTAGAGTAGAAACTAGTGAGTACTCACACTACTAAGCTTACAGGAGTAGTAAACAAAGGTACAAAGAGTAAAGACACTCAGACAATTGTTCTTAAGAATTCAGACAGTTGAGTTTAGAATGAACAGGTGATTGGTTTCAAGGATTCAGTCAGTTGATTGACAAAAGCAAGTATACAGGAAGATAGTATAGATTCTATTATACATATAGTTAGTATAAGTGAGAGTATAGATGAGTATCTAGTGAGTACACTTACTTTAGAACAGAAACACATTAACAATAGTAATGTAGAGGGTAATCAGACACCTAAGACCCTTTTAGGCAGTGAAGAAAGTAGCTAGGACTCAGAACACAAGAGTAATAGACAAGGCTAGGAGAGCTAGGTATCAGAACCACAGAGATTCAATAAGGAACAAGACTTCTAGAAGGTAAGTAAGACTTTCAGACACATTATAAAAGCTAGAGCAATTAAGATAGACATAGAACATGTTAGCCTATTCTACAGTTTGATAGACATTAACAATTTGAATAAGAGAACGTACAAATTTGATAGAATGTATCAGGAAGAGGAGAAAGTAACTCCTTTATCAAACAAGAGTAGACTCAATAGTATAGTAACAGAAAAGTGTGAAACACTTTAGGCAGGCAATAGAATGAAAGCCAGACATACTATAGTACTTACAGACAGTAGAGATCATAACTATTAATCTAAGAGTGTAGAAGAAACACTTAAGAGTCCAGACAAACAATTGTATTTATAGAAAGTGAAAGGAAAGTGTAAAGTAAGAGGAATACACAAAGTGTAAGGAACAGAACAAAAACCAGAACTGTCAGACATTCAATATGATTGTGAAATCAATTCAGACTATCTAAGCAAAACAGACATCACATTTATAGAACAGTACTTTGAGGATAGTAAAAGTGAACACAAATCAGAACTACAAGGATTAGTACTTAATCTAGAGAGTGAAAACCAAGTATACACTTACAAAATCAAGTGTTTAACCTTATACATAGTAGATATTGACTATACATTACACAGGAGCAATGTACAGGAGTACTATAATGGATACAACACTCTAGCCAGGTTTAGGGATAAGAGAGAAAGTAAAATACTTAGATATATACAGTCTCAAATAGAAACATTAAGTTTTTCAGGACATTAGAGTATCCCTCACAAAAATAAAAGGAACAAACAATCCTATAGTAATACTTTACAATTAAAAGCAGTCTCAGGCAAGGTATACACTAGTAGTATTAGT